CGTGTGCGCTTTTCAAAACACAGTTAAAATACATTTACTTTGCGCTTTTCAAAACACAGTTAAAATACATTTACTTTGCCTGATGTTCCTTTACACTCTTTTTTCATTTTTATTCTGGCCTAAAGAACAGAAGATAAGACTCTCAGACATTCTTTTCTCCAATTTTTAAAATACAGATTTTACTTCTTCCTCAAGGATCTCTAACAATAAGATAAACTCAGACGCTACACTAATTTACCATATTTATTCAGCGCATTCTTAAAATTTTACTTCCAATGATGCCATCATTTTCGAAATCCTTGGCTCCCGTAGACAAACTATGTCAAAGTATCCTATCACCAAACATGGCTCCAGCCAAGTGGAAATAACTCTACAGATGCAGACAGGACTCCATAGCATCTCTGAGGGCACGGTACACACACTTTCTAAAACACTGCAGATTATAGTGACTTTTCCAATTTCTTTATCTCACAGATGGAATTTCCAAATTGAGACAATGGACAGTAAAATTGAGGGGGAGGAAAATGAACTGAAACGCCCACTGAACTCTAGGTCCCAAAGGCCAGCACTGGCACTAGCGGGAGGTTCCCTGGAAACGACTGTGTGAATCCCAGCCTGGAGTCAGCTCTCCCAGTTACTTATGTGCACACTCAGGTCTGGAAGCACTGGTGGGTCAATTCTGTCAGTGCACCCTCCACACAGCCCTGGGATTGGGACCATACAGTTTACAGAGAAAGGCATCAAAGTCAGAAAGCTGGTGACACTTTGAGACAGGATTCAAATTCAAGCATACTACACCTTTGTAAAAAATGCTGTCCTAGCACTGGAAAGGCAAAAGCAGGAAGATCGCCAGGAGTTCCAGGGCAGCGTGAGCTACATAATGAGGCTTTATCTCAAAACAAACACTTCTCTCTCTCTCTCTCTCTCTCTCTCTCTCTCTCTCTCTCTCTCTCTCTCTCTCTCTCTCTCTCTCTCGGAAAAAAAGAAAGAAAAATGAAAAAGGAGGCACCACAAAGAAACAAAAGCTTTCTCTTAGGAAAACTAACATTATCTAAAAGGAACTTGTAACAAGCCAGTATCTAATTTCAAATTTTCTACTAGTTACAGTAAAGCTACATTACATTTATATTTCTTTAATAAAAAGAAACAAGTTAAATTAATTTTAAAAATCTATTTTATATAACTCAATGTATCTACAGTATTACCATTTTAACACATAGTCAATATAAAATCACTAATGGGATACTTTACATTTGTGTGTATATACTCTGAAATTCATATATACTTTATATCCAGCACAACTCAGAGCTGCTGAGTTCTAAGTGGCTCATGAGTCTGTCCCATCCTTATCAAATTGGACCTGCAATGTCATATGTATTGACACACCTCCCTTAAAGGATGAAGCTGACAAAACTGTTAAAATAATCAATGGACAGAAAAACTGAACACTATGTGATAGTTCACTTTGCTGAACGCAGATTAAACAACAACAACAACAACAAAAACCTAACTGTGTGTATTCTATTGTGATCAAAGTAGGCAGGTTTAGGTGAGGCTGCCAAACTGACCCATCAACTACAATCTTGCAAAGGAAAATGTCAAAAGGTAAAAATCAGGGCACGCATGTAACACTTAGAAGAGGCATATATAATTTTCACATTATTTCAAACACGATGTTTTTAAAGTCATAAAAGTGTTTTTATTTTAAATAAAGAGGATTTTTTTAAAAGGGAAGAGATGATTTCAAACTACGTACTAGAAATAATTTAGCAAACATATATGATTCAAATATACATAATTCCTTCTACAATAATTTTAAAATTACATACCAAACTCAATACAAATTAAGAAAGAAAGTAATAGGAAAACAGAAAAAGAAACAAGGTTATTTGTCCCTTAGCAATTGTGGAGAAAAAAGTGACAGACTAAGTTTATATAAAGAGGTTTATAGATTAGTAATGAATTCAGATCTTTATCAATTAACCCAGTTAAATACAAAAAAGTCATACTGTATTACTTAACAATTGTAGCCACTAAACAAATTCAAACTACCATTACTTGAATACACTGTTAATTCCTAATGTAAAGATTTAGGATTAATAGCAATTCCATTTATCAAGACAGTTAAACTTTCTTTTTTTTTTTTTTTTTTTTTTTTGGTTATTTTTTTTTTTGTTTTTCAAGACAGGGTTTCTCTATGTAGCTTTGAGGCCTGTCCTGGAACTCACTTGGTAGCCCAGGCTGGCCTCAAACTCACAGAGATCCGCCTGGCTCTGCCTCCCGAGTGCTGAGATTAAAGTTGAGTGCCACCACTGCCCAGCCAGTTAAACTTTTTAAAAGTCCATTACCCTTACCCCTAGATAACAGACTTGAATAAAATATTGGCCCTTTTTTTTTTTTATAAAAAAAGGATAAATCAAAGAAAAAGATGAACATATAAAACATTAAAAATAATTAAAAATATAAATAATCAAGTTATATATGCTTGAACAGTTTCTGTTTTTTCTATTTAAAGTTAAGGTTTAGTGAAAGAGTTTACTCTTGATTCAAAAGTCACAAAACAGGATATATTGTATAGGAAAGGCATCACTGATAGGAGGACTACTTACATATATGTATCCATTATGAACACAAGAAACGAGAGTAGAGGTCAGGTGGGACTTAACAGACACATCTTAAAATTTCTTAAGATTCCCAAATTCACATGTATGTTATTGTTACAATGTATCAATTTTTGCACTTGATCATCAAATCGGTTTTCAAAAGAAGCCTAAGTCACACTTGGAAAGAAGCGTTCTGTCAAAACGCACTTCAGCTAAATTTAACAAGCATCATCCTATATATAATTCTACTGACGGCCTTCACAGTCTTCCTATTCAAGTGTAAACCTTTAAATTTCTTCTCTGCAATGTGGGCTTTGCATTTATTTCAATACCTCACGAGATATGAATGTCAATAGAAACTTCAATCTCATCAAACACAGATGTTTCATGGCCAGCAACTATTTCTGCGTGATCTTAGTCAAGTCAATCCCGCACTTTCGCTGCTTCACCCTCCTCTCTGTGATTCTACAATTTAAACGTTTTGATGAGCAGGTCTTTAGCAACAGGCTTTGTATTAATTAACTAGAAAGCTACATGAGACTGTACCAATAAACAAAAGAGGCTGTAGGCCAGTGTAAACACAGTGTCTATCTCAAAAAGACTCTTTCTAATCCAGCCAGTTCCACAAATTCACTCTGTTATCAAGAACCCAATCCGGCAGGAGGATAGAAAAAGACAGTACCTTCCATCTCTAATATGGGCAGAGAAATGGGTGCAAGAACCAGGAAAAACTGGTTAAATCCTTCAAACACATGTATGGCTAACAGAAAATGTGTCTTAAACAGGTGAATATGAAAAAGTTCTTCCGACTATTTTCCTCCAAGTCAAGGAATCATCTTGGATCTTTAAAAACAAAACAAAACAAAAAAACAAAACAACTCAAAAGTGACACGTTACCACTTGACACATCTAAAAGATTTTTTTGTTGTTTTTGTTTTGTTTTGTTTTGCATTCCTCTTTATCTAATGACCAGCTATTTGGGACGTTTTCCCATGATTGCAACTCTACTCAGTTCTTAACCAACAAAACACAGAAACCTTCAAATGTTTAAGTATAAAGGTTTTCATTCTGCCCACATAACACAAACCCACTGGAGACATAAACCCGAGTGTTCCACTCTACCGTATCCCAGACCCCAAAACACCCGAAACTCTTCATCTTCAGTGTGGCGGTAGTCACTCTTGAGTTTTCTCTTTAAAAATGAGATTTACTTGACCTATTTTCATGTATTTCTACAGCACCCAGATGCTTTACTGCTAGTTTGTATATGGGTCATTTTCTTCATTTGTTTCCAGCATGTCAAATCCTTGAAAAGTCTAATACAGATCGTTTACAATGTTCTATGTGTTCAAAATAGATGGCTTTCAATACCCAAGTTCCAGGTGCACATCCCGTTTGTAAAACAACACACACACACACACACACACACACACACACACACACACGAGGGGGTGAACACACCCTGGCACCTGAAATGTCAATCAAAGAACAAACCCTTTTCTATCTCCTTTTGGCTTTCTTCTTCCCTAAGTTCTCCAGTATTTCGGTGTCTTAAAAGGAAAAGAAAATGTTGAAAACTTGAGAAGTGCTTAAACAGCACCCGGAGAAAAGACAAAATATAGTTGTCAGAATGAGTGTGCTAACTTACAGACCGGAATATCTTACCTAATTAGAGGACGGGTTCCATTTCCCCATCCTCAACAACAACGTAACACAGCCTTACTCTTTAAAAAACAACAACAAAAAAAAACGTTCAGGAAAATAAGACAGCGACAACAATGGGGATCCCGTGCGCTCTCAAGACCGGGTGGAGGGTAAAGAGAGAGAACTCCACACCCAGCAAACCAGAACAAAGCGACAGCCGGGGCTTCTCAAGATGCACCCGGGTTGGGAGGCCCCGCCGCGTATTCCGACACCTCCCGGTGGTTTCAGGTTTGGGTAGCCATCAAAACAAGAACATTCGGCGGCTTCCGCCAGCGCGAGGTGGAGGGGACGGCTCTGGGCGCTGGGCAAGACCTAGAGGCTCGCAGCAGCAGCAGCAGCAGCAGCAGCAGGAGCAGGACCAGCAGCAGCAGCAGCAGCAGCCGCCCGCGACCCACCGAGGCCCGGGCGAGCCGGCCTCGGCTGTCCGCAGCCCGGCCTGCGCAGTAATGGCCGGGGCCGCGCCCGTCACGGTCCCGGCTGCGCCAGCTCGGCCGGCCTCCCTCCCTCCGCGCGCCCGTCCGGGCCGCGCTGGCCAAGGGCGTCCCTGTCCTACCGGCCCCGACCCGCCCGCCGCCCGCCGCCGCCACCGGGCGCCGCCCCGCAAGCCGAGCGCGGTCGCAGCGCCGCCCGCCGAGGAGGCCCCGCAGCCCTCGGACACCCGCGCTCCCCACCGGTCCCGCCCGCTGTGCCCACCTCTCGGCCACCGCCGCAGCCGCCTCGCAGCCTTTTCTCCTCGGCTCCGGAGCCCCGCAGCCGACGGGGACGCGCGCGCGCGGCCGCCACGTGACCGCCCGGCGCGCTGGGGGGGGGCGGGGCCGCGCCGGCGGAAGCCACGCCCCCCCCCCGCCGCCGCCGCCGCGAGGGCGAGCTCCGGCGCGCGCGCGCCCGCGGCCCGCCGTCCCCGCTCTGCTCGCGCACCTCGCTGCCCTCTGCTGCGGTGGGACGGTGCTCTCTCTCCCTCCTCTCCCTCCCTCCCTTCCCTCCCTCCCTCCCTTTCTCCCTCCCTCCTTCCCCCTCCCTCCCTCCCTCCCTCCCTCCTTCTCTCTCTCTCTCTCCCTCCCTCCCTTCCCTCCCTCCCTCCCTTTCTCCCTCCCTCCTCCCCCCTCCCTCCCTCCCTCTCTCTCTCTCTCTCTCTCTCTCTCTCTCTCTCTCCCTCCCTCCCTCCCTCCCTCTCTCTTTCTCCCTCTCTCCCTCTTTATGCCGTGTGCATGGCGTACCTTACCACCGCCTGGCTCTGACACGCGGAGGTCCCACCGGAGAGCATTGGGGGAGGAAGCTAGACATTGGGGACCAGGAAGGGGAGCTTTCCCGAAATCTTCTAGCCTTCTGACCCCCCAAGAAGCCCTTGGGCCAAGTCCTGAGTTTCATTTTTAAAGTGCCCTTACGGAGAGTACTGCTTGTTCCTTATCAAGAACATCAGCAAGGCACTGCGTGGGACTAGAGGGTCCCCTGGGAACGCTCTGATTTATTCACCTCACAAATAGCTAGGAAATTTAATAGGGGAGGGAGCGTGCAGGGGTCTCAAGAAGTCTTTTGAACCCTAACAGCAACAGCGTTGGAGGCTAGAAGAAGAAAGCAATCGTCTTAAGAATCTAGACAAATTTCGTGGATTAGTTTTATGGCAAGCTTGTAGTTTTAAACATGAAAATCTAGTCGTTAATTTTAACCCGAACATGGTCTTTTACAGAACCCAGTGAATTTTCTCAAGTTGTAGTTAAACAAGGTGGACTAGCCGGGCCTTTTCATCTTTGAAAGTATTTCCGCATTCTGTAACTGTTGCATTGTGCTTGCAACAAAGTTGCATTTTGAGGTTTTATTAACTGTTTCAATTCAGGACAGAAAATGTTTCGGGTGCTTAATATGATAGCTACAAAGCACAGCCTCTGATCCAAAGGGAGGAAGAATTTATTCATATGAAGACAACCATGAGTAACTGTGAATCCAGACATGAATCCCCAAGCATGGATTCAGGATACTCGATCTGCTGTTCTAGGAAATATTACATGAACTTTTATAGCCACAAAAAGAGAAGGTTCTTCGTGGTGATATTTTGTTTGTGATCTAACAAGGAAAGCTTGCCCGAAGGTCAGAGTGCAGAGTTAATACACTAGTTAGCCACAGAGACCAGACAGTGGTGGCACACACCTTTAATCCCAGCACTCTGGGAAGCAGAAGTAGAAGGATCTCTGTGAGTTCAAGGCCACCCTGGGCTACACAACATTGATCCAGTCTAAATAAGAAACAGAGCCAGGCAGTGGTGGCACACACCTTTGATCCCAGCACTTGGGATCTCACACCTTAATCCCAGCAAAAGGGAGGTGGAGACAGGAAGTGGTATGGCTGGGCAGAGAGAGAAATAGAAGGCAGAAGGAGACAGGAACTAGAGTTCTTTTCAGGCTGAGGAGGTGTTGAGGTAAGATGAGGTGACTGTGGCTTGCTCTGCTTCTCTGATCTTTCAGCATTTACCCCTCTGGTTAAAAAACTCTGAGTTTTTATTATAAGACCAATTAGAATTTGTGCTACAAAAGTCTGTATCAATGATCTTGAAATTCTATGCTTAGGAACTTCTATTGGGATTATGTATACAGTAGGAAACTATTAAAGGTTGAGACGTGACCAATACACGTGACTGGGAGGAGGAGAAGCCAGGGAGAGAGAAGACTGGAGTCTCCTGGAAGCTTCTTATTAGTTAGTAGTTATTACTAACTAATACTAAATATACTAAAAATACCAATACTGAAAATACTAATAAAAAGTTAGTATTTTGTGTAAGGGTTATCTAAGGGTCTGGAATTAGGACCTAATTAAGAACACTTAGGCCGGGCGGTGGTGGCGCACGCCTTTAATCCCAGCACTCGGGAGGCAGAGGCAGGCGGATCTCTGTGAGTTCGAGGCCAGCCTGGACTACCAAGTGAGTTGCAGGAAAGGCGCAAAGCTACACAGAGAAACCCTGTCTTGAAAAACCAAAAAAGAAAAAAAAAAACAAAAAAACAAAAAAAAACAAAACACTTAGGATCTGTGCTACAAGTACACATCAATGTATTTGCCAAATATTTTGGTAGGGATAGGACATCATGTAGGTGAGTGACTGAGGGAGCATGTAGATCTATAGGTTTGAATGCTATAACATTCATAGTTTCAAAGTTGAAAATGAGCTAGGTCTCTAGTGGTAGGGTGTTTGCCTATCATACTTGAGGATCTGGGTTCAATCCCTAGTACCACACAGGGCAAGCGGGGAATGAAAAAGACTGATGGAAGCTACTGGTCAGCTAGGTTTCAACAGTACATACCAGTCACAAAGATGTTAGGTCAGATGACATAGGAATTAAGAGCAAATGGTTACTATGGTGATGATATGGGGCAGGGCAAATATTTGGCTCTTGTTTGCAGCATTCTCCTGTACCACTATTACAAAGTTTAGTCAGCCAATCAGTTCACGGGAATCTTCCACATAAGTGTTGCTTCTTTAGGAAAACACACACACACACACACACACACACACACACACACACACACACACACGTGTAAAAGTCTCTTGGGGTGAGCTACTTCAATATGTTTTCTTCTAAGTAATACTATTTTTTGTAACTTTAATGAATGTGCAAATATTGGGAGACATGTCATCTAACTTTTAAGGTTACTTCCTTGTCATACCCTTTTATTTTTAACCCCTGTGGTATTACAATCTGCGTGTATAGCAGTAGCAAAATTTTGATGCTTACATCATGATTCAGGCTTGAAGAAGCTGTAGCAACACTACCCATTATTCTGGGTTGCAGGTTTTACAGTCATGCAACCCCACAATCATCCACTGTGGGTCCTTTTGCTGTTGCCATTTTCCAGAACTGGCACACAGCTGGGATTCGAACTCAGGTAGAGGCTCCATGAGGATGCATGCTCCGATTCATTTTCTGGATTAAGAAAGGACTTCCATGAAGAAATTCTAGTTTGAGAAAGCTGAAATCAGAACATAAATATGTTGCCTGGCCCCTACATCTCTTAGGAAAAGGCCTTTTCAGTCTCCCTGGGTACATATGAGGCATAGATTTTCTAAGTGGTGGGAGGTCCTTTCTGTTTGCCTACTGAAACACATAAGACAGAATGTCGCTCGAGTTTTCCTACCTGGCCCACAGTCAGGACAAATCTCTCTCACCTGCCAGTCCCATGGCTGTCAGACCCAACCAAGTAAACACAGAGACTTATATTGGTTACAAACTGTATGGCCATGGCAGGTTTCTTGCTAACTGTTCTTACAGCTTAAATTTATCCATTTCCATTCATCTATACCTTGCCACATGGCTCGTGGCTTACCGGCATCTTCACATGCTGTTTCTCATCATGGCGGCTGGCAGTGTCTCTCTGACTCAGCCTTCCACTTCCCAGCTTTATTTTCCTCCTTGTCCTGCCTATACTTCCTGCCTAGCCAATGGCCAACCAGTGTTTTATTTAGTGACCAATCAGCAACACATTTGCCATACAGAACATCCCACAGCACAGAAATGAAGCATCAGAAACCTAACTAGAATACTCTTTCAGATTAAGCCCCTCTCCCTATGCCCACAATCATTGTCATTTCAATAAATGCTTCTATATATCTGTGTCCCAACCCATCTTTAGTTTCTTATCTTTTTTTGCAAGTAATTTGTGTTGGTTATTTGCGGCGCTCTTACCCTGTGAGGAAATGTCATGAAACACGACAGAATCCACTAACAAGAGTTTTTATTAAGATAAGGGAGAGAGACAGATGTGCACAGGCCTGTGGAATAGACATGTGAGTAAAGATGGAGCCAGGAATCATGGCACCGGCTTACAAAGGCTGGGCCGCGCCTGTGCACACAGGCCCATATGGCTATTCCAGTCATGCACGTAGATCCCATGGTTGTGCTGCATGCTTTACACAACCACACAAAGCCACGGGGTCCTGGTCACGCAAGACGTTTTGACCTGGAAATGACTAGGCCGAAGTGACTAGGTTCCTCTGGGCATGCACAACCATGCCCAACCGTGGGGGCGTGTTGTGAATCTATATCAATTTGTTGCCTCTTTCCATCTTCAAAAAAAACTCGAGATCCTGTTATTTATTACCTTGACTTCAATCACAATATCTCTAAACAAAATCTATTAAAAAGATATGAGGTCATACCACTCTTCTGTTCACAATCCCCCTTGTCTTCCCAACACAAAGAAAAATCAAAAGTCCTTCTTTTGTGTGCCCGCCCTCCTTTATTAGCTCCCAGACCTCTCAACCAGCTTCCTGTTCCCACAATACCCTACACAAACTCTCAACCACATTCTTTGCTGGCTGCTCCCCCTGCCCCCATTTGAGCACTCTTTCCCATGATGGCTTGCTCTCTCCCTCTATGCTCAAATATCTTTGCAGCCCTTTCCCTGCCTCTCTATGTTAAGTCATCATATTTACTAACATTTCTTAGTAAATTTCTATTTATATTTCCCCTTTCCATTTTCTCTTTCATACTTACAGCAGTGTGGGTACATCTGATGTAACTGATATAATGCACTATTATTTGGGGGTGCTGCTCTAGAACAAAGCACCTAAGGAGGTGGATGAATAAAGACCTTCAACAGACAAATCCTGGGCTTGACTCTTCATGCTCTCTGTCACTGTTTCTTTAGATTATACGCAGTATGTAGTAAAGATAAAAATGAAATCATTAAAACAAACAAAAGGTAGCAGCTAAAGAGAGAAACTTGGCTGTCTCACATGTAATTATTCCATTCAGTAAACGTTTTTAAGTGCCCCCTATCTGCCTCACCACCAGGAGCAACCATTCAGCACATACTGCAGTAGAA